TCCATCCTACCGATCCAATTGCTTCCCGACTGGAGCCATTGCTCAGCGCCAGGTTTTCCATATTGGCGCCGGTAAATGTGCCACGGTATGCCAAGTATCCGCTGGGTAATGGGCAGCCATATCATTTACGTAAGTTTTTCAAATATTTGGATTAACATTTTTGTGAAACTAAATCGTTTTTTTTTTCCTCTGAAGTGGAGGTCATTCAATCGCATCCACAGCATTTTAGCGATGCTAACAATATTCTAGCCGGCCGACGTCTATCAGATGCCTCAATGCAAAGTACTATTTCTGGTCTAATTGAAAATGTATCGCTAAGTACAATCCACTCACGTAAGTTGCTAGCAAACACTTAGAATCCTTAGATACTACTGTACAGTTCTGAAAAGTAAATTTTAACACGCATAGCTTGATTTATCCTATATCTAACCCCATCCATGTTTGTGAAGTATTTTTAGAACAATTTTAAATAGTTCTCATTTACAGCAAATTCTTTTCAAATCACTGATACTTATTTATTAAATATTCCTATTTATTTCCAGTCCAAATGAAATGGTGGGGCACAAAGCGTTTAGATTACGCTTTGTATTGCCCGGAAGGCTTGAGTAATTTTCCAGCTCATGCCTTGCCGCATCTATTCCATGCTAGTTACTGGGAAAGTGCGGATGTAATTGCGTTCGTTCTGCGCCAGGTGAGTATTTAAATAAACAAATTAATTAATAAACGATTTAGAGCTTTTTATATATATTTATATATAGTTTTAGCGCAGTCTTTCATGTATTGGTGAAAATTAAATCTGTTCCCAAAAAGTGTTCCTAGCCAACTAAAACTGGTCTCACTCTATAACGATTGCTTTCTTCTCTGTTAAGACTTTACGTAAAGACTATGTATGTTTTAGAAGTGATACCATCTTTAACTAACTGTTCCCACTCCCACTTTTCTTCGAATCACCTCTCAATAAATACATAGTTTTTTTTCTTTGTCAAACAAATACCTAATTTTCTTTTAAAAATCTAATTTTTTCAGATTGGCAAATTCGATGGCATTCCATTTGTCGGCTCTGCCGATGACAAAGACACAGTCACCTTCCATCCAAGTCAGCCACGTGAGAAATGGATGAAGAAACGCACTTCAGTGAAACTGAAAAATGTCGCTGCTAATCATCGCGCCAACGACGTTATAGTTTTAGAGGGACGAGAACAACGCCTCAATGCACGTTTCATGTATGGCCCTCTCGATATGATTACTTTGCACGGCGAAAAGGTCGATATACATCTAATGAAAGATCCACCAGCTGGCGAATGGACATTCCTTGCCACCGAGCTGACCGATAAAAATGGCCGCATTGCATATACCATTCCCGAACAAGTCGCATTGGGCTATGGCATCTACCCGGTGAAAATGATAGTGCGCGGCGATCACACATCCGTTGATTGCTATGTAGCCATANACCATTCCCGAACAAGTCGCATTGGGCTATGGCATCTACCCGGTGAAAATGATAGTGCGCGGCGATCACACATCCGTTGATTGCTATGTAGCCATAGTGCCGCCAATGACTGAATGTGTAGTCTTTAGTATTGATGGTTCCTTTACGGCGTCAATGTCGGTGACGGGGCGTGATCCGAAGGTACGCGCTGGCGCTGTTGATGTCTGTCGCCATTGGCAAGAGTTGGGCTACTTGTTGATCTACATTACCGGACGGCCGGATATGCAACAGCAGCGGGTGGTATCATGGCTAAGCCAGCACAACTTCCCACATGGGCTGATCTCATTCGCTGATGGATTACTCACTGATCCACTTGGTCACAAGACAGCATACTTGAATAATTTAGTGCAGAATCATGGAATCTCAATTGTGGCTGCTTATGGTAGCAGCAAAGATATAACTGTTTACGCAAATGTTGGTTTGCGGGCCGATCAGATATTCATTGTGGGCAAGGTAAGTTTGTTTGGGTTAGGGGCTGGACGATGGGCAATCGTTGTTGCACAATTTTTTTTTTATATATTTTGCATTTTTAGGTTAGCAAAAAGTTGCAATCGAGTGCCACGGTCTTGAGTGATGGTTACGCTGCACATTTAGCTGGTCTACAGGTAGTGGGCGGTTCTCGTCCTGCCAAGGGTAATGCGCGCATGGTAATACCGCGTGGCTGTTTCAATTTACCTGGCCAGGCATCGAATCCACGTCGCAGAAGGTATGTGAATGGGATTGTATAGAATTTTGTGTTAAATGTTGTAACGTCCTCGTGTATATTCTTACACGTATTGATACTAAAGTTGTACATATGTATTTATAAACAAACACACCGAAAGACTTGGCTAGAGGGATTTTAGTTAGCTTTTTGTTTATGTTTTTCATTTTTGTTTGGATGGTCACAATGAAATCAATTGTTTTGGCTCACTATTTTTTGTAAATTCTTCAATTATTTTGTAAAACAAAAATTAGTTTTTACAAGTTATATAAGAAATAAGCATTATTTTCTGTAAAGTGTTATCAATTTATCGACTTACTGTTCATTTATGGAAAGGAACTGGTACAAGAGCTTTGAGAATTTTGAGTACTTTTTCGAGCTTGGCGCAACGTTAGCCCATCTACAAAATCTCTTGCTTGGCAAAAACTAAAATCATCATTAAGCGAAAATTAGAACTTGAATCTGAGCCCTAGAAAACTTGTTTTTTTTAGGAGACGCCACCTGCAGACTATGTCATTGTTGATCATTTCTATAAAATATTTTCTTAATGAGAAACTTAAATTCTTAGATGAAGCAGTTACTGATTAATAATAAGTAGGTATTCAAACGATGTCCGGTTTCTAAATTCTGCACTGTCTCACACCATCTCATGCGTTCAAGTTAGATTGGGAACAGAGTGGAAAATGCATGTGATGAAAGCATTTTTCAGAACACCTTATAGCCAGCCAGGACACCAACTTTCGTAAGGTCACAACTCATCTACCTCGGCAATGATTTTTCTCCTTACCGAAAGAAATTTCTGGCCAAATATGTAGCGAGAAAATTATTAAAATTTGCTAAATAGTGCATGATTACAAAAGTTTAAACATAGGCCTCCACTTTATTGGTGAAACTAAGAACCAACCGCTGGTCTAAGTGAGATCTCACACAAATTTAAACACACCTCGACAATTTTTCATTTCTAATTAAACGGAACTATTGTTGTTTGTGGTTTCCCACCAATTTAGTAATTTTAATGAAAACTGGTTCTGTCAAAGGTTTTGTTCTGAAATTTGAAGGTTTTTAAAGTTCGATTCTTACCTGCCTCCTGCCCGAAATGTTCCAATCAATTTAATGAACATGTTAAATTCAATATCAAACGAGGTTAAATTGAGCTTAATTCCTAAAATATTTTTGAAGAAGGCTGCCACCTTTTTAATTATCAGTTTAATTAACAAGTTTAATGATATATAAAAATATGAGTATCAGACACGAACGGTTTAAGAAATCTTTTTTCCGAAGATGGTTTATAAGAAGGTTGCCACCCAATAAATTTAATTAAGTTAGAATAGAACTTTAATTTCGATTTTTTTCTAAAATGTTTGTTGAATAGGTTTGCCATACCATTTTCTCTCGTGACCGAATTGAATGTTTGTTTTACAGTTCGAAGGATGTTTTAAGGCGCCGCAAAGAAAGCGGTGATTGGCTAATAATTTATTAATTTCAAGGCATTTGTGGGTTGTAAAATGTTATTTTGATACGGCAAGCCGTTATAGAGAAATCTCAGCCTTCAAACGATATTTGAATGTGAATTGTTCTCAGATGTTACTGATACGACTCGTCATACGTTAAGTTTCGAAGCGTGTTTAAATTCTTGAGTGTATCTACCAGAACATGATTTTCAAGGTGACCATACCAAAAATTAAACATTTCGCATCACTAGTTGTTCTAGTTAATAACATCTTAAATATGTATAGTATGTACATAAATGAGTAAATATGTAAGTACGATAGAGAAAAACATTTGTCTGGTGGTTGAATGGCGATGTGTTGTTGTTCGAATTTTTTAAAACAATTTTATGTTTTACAAATTTTTATAAATTACTTACTCCTTGTGTTTATATGTTTTGTTTGTTTTTCGAATTAAGATTGAATGTTGATATTTTATTATTTTGTTTTTGTTTTTTTCTTTTAAATAATTATGTTTACTTTAACAGCAACGCATATGAGAAAACTGCAGACGATTGAGCTACTAATATATGTAAATATGTACGCACATACATACACACGTATGTTTGTAACAAGCAGCCAGTGATGGGAATATTAACAGCACTTAGCTTAGTATTTTCTAAGCGAGCAAAATTTAGACGAATTTATTTGCTTTATTTCGAATTAGTTAAACCAAAAACACATATCATTACACATTAGTGGATAAAAGTGTGCAATTATTTAGCGAAAAAAAAATAAAATAAAAAATTTAAAACACAATATAGTATTTATTTAGATGAATTTATGTAAATAAATATTTATAGCTGTGCATATGTATGTCTGTACTAATAACTAACCAATGCAAATGAAATTTTTTATTGAATTTGAATTTACGATGTGTTTCTTTCATATTGTTTCTCTTTGGATTTCATTTCTTACCCCATTGACTTTCGTTTATACCTGATTTAAACGTGTTTATATGGACACATTGCAAACGCTTCCACAACCGAAACTACCAACTCAAAACATCATCAAAAAAAAAAAATAAAAATCGAAAACAACCAACACCCAAAACCACCACCATATCATCACCGTTTCCGCAACCTATTCAAAACTTCGTCGATTATTTGCTGTATACAATTTTTATTTCACATTTTAAAAACCACCAATTTGAACACCACACCACAACCACCCACCGCTATCCTCATCAACCATTTTGTGCCGTTTCTTGTGTATTTAGGCTGCATGAGCAACCGGATGCTTTAATGTAAATTGCGAATGTCACACCTTTGTCTCGTACTCACCAAAACCACCACCACCAACAACAACAACAACAACAACAACAACAATAAGATCATTGTATGCGAAACGCAAGTAAAAAGCAAAAACAATCAAAGCTACAACAACAACAAACTAGCAAGCAAATAAATCAAACAATAAAATGGTAAATTTTACTAACACCTACGCTTAATTTTTAAATAAAAAAAACACGAAAAAAGTTTAAAATCAGCAACTAAATAAAACTTTGACTTAAACTAAACAAAAATATATAAAAAAACAACTACACAAAAATTATGTTAAAAATTGTAGATTAAATAAATTTAAAACTAATTTAAAAAACATCATTAAAAAACCAAAAATATCTACACAAAAGAAACCAAAAACTAAATTATCATTCATAAATAAACTACACAAAATTAGTTGAAATTTAATGTTGTAAAATATTGGTACATTTTTTGGCAATCTGGTCACATTGTGCGTTAATTCGATTGGTCACAAATAATCTTATATATATAAATGTATATCACCATAAGCTCTATTTCGAAATAAGTCTCATCGAACACGCTTTTTGACTCATCAATGTTTTTATTATTTTTGTTTGTATGTATACTCTCTTCCCATTTCATCAACAAATATGTAACTGCTATCTCTACTGCATCCATCATCACTCCAAAACCGCTACGCCTTTATCTCTTTCTCACTATATGTGTAACTATCCAACACCGTCAACTACAACAAACTCAATCAAAATGAAATAAAAACAATAGCAACGAAACTGGATTATCTTCGCCCATTCGCAGTGGTTACCTGAAGCGAAAAACCTATCTAAGTCTTCACTAAATGTAAATACAAAAAAAAAAAAAACAAACAAAAGATGAGCGCATTCGAAACGTGTTTCCAAAATGAAGCTGCGCTGGCATCACGCTACTTTGGATCACACATTTGTAGAAGAACAAGGAGAAAGCACGAATAATGGAAGGCAAAATTTTTGAAATCATAAATCGTCCAAAAATTTCGGCAGCTAAATACATTAAAAAAAAAGAACAAAGAAATGTCCTATAACCTCTACGATGCGTCTTTTGTCCGCGCGCACGCCATACATGTCCACGAAGCTTAAGCAACATTTACATAGCTTAGACGTACCTCCCACATCGCTTAGAGCGCATAGTTCTGTAGTTAGCGCGCTGCCACACTCTGCTTCCTGATCCACTCTGCTTAGTAATCCCAAAAAACAAGTGCAAAAAAAAAATCGCTGCAAATTACATACAAAACATTTATGAAGAAAAAAAACAAACAAACAAAACAAAACAAAACTAAATTTTCCTTAGAACAGACATTAGAGGTTTATGATGATGAAGCGGTAATACAGCATTGATTACTAACCGATTCATTTGCAACCACTTAGTGCTGCATTAGAACTTAAACAAATGAGAACCGAATGCAAAAAATTATTACGTAAATCACGCCTAAAGTGTCACGTGGTAAGTAAGATTTTAAATTCTTTTTATAAACTATTTTCGCATATTTACTATTCGGATTGCTACTTTTTACTTGAAAACGTAAGTAATTTAAGTTAAGTCTAAGAGGAGGGGCTTAGATGCAAACTGTAGCAAATAGGATAGTCTAGTATCTAAGATAGTTGAAGATACATAAGTAGATAAGATAGATAATTCTCTCCTTGCATATTGACCCTCAGATCTATTTCACTCGATAGTTGAAGATAATCCTATAATCTATGTATTAGACACACTGCTAATAGTTTGAGTTGGGTTTGAGTATCGTTGAAACATTCAGACAAACCTACGCCAACTTTTTAGATATCCACAATACTACCAGTTGTATAATTATAATTTTTTCATTCTGGCAACACTTACTTGTGCTTAAATTATTGTTAGAAACCAGGCTCGGAGCACAACATTGTGTGCGGTATTGAGAAAAGCTAAACATTCTAGAGTTTCTTAAGGCATAAGGCCTATCTCTGAAATAAAGGAAAGTAAGCAATCTTTTTTTGATAGCGGCGGTATATGTTGTTGTTGTAGCGGCACTTCTAAGCCCAGCAACGTTTCTTTGTATTTGCCCCAAGTGCTGCCGGCGAGCGACTTGGGGACCTTGTTGCGGCTCTGTACTTTATTGACGACTGCAGTTGTGTGATCCCTAAAATTTTCGGGTTATTTACTATCGGTACTGGTGTGCCATCGACGTGTATACCTAGTTCTACCCTAACCTCCTTCGTCCAGGTGGTGAAGAGGGTTCGCCGTTGATTTCGTTGGGGAGAGTGTTAGGCTCCTTGCAGTGAAGAAGCGAGAAAGGCTGAAGAGATAGTCATTTACTTTTGAGCAGAGGTCATCAATTCCATCCCCGGTATTCCATTCCCATGACAGCCGGTTCTTCGACGGTAGGGTTTTACCCGACCAAGGACTGTGGTTTAGGCGACCTAACCCCGTTTAGATCGGCGATATCCCTCAATCATTTTTCATCCATGGAGCAACTCCTTGCAGCCGGATTGCTCCGCATCCTTCTTCTCCGAGCGGACGTTGAGCCCAACCCCGGACCAGAAACATACTTCTTCTGTGTTTGCTAGAATTGACTCCATCCGAAATCCACTTCGGTTAGGTGCAACTCAAGCAACGGATGGAGTCACCTAAGATCCTGCTCTGGTCTTAGGTCTCACCGGCAGTGTACCACATGCTATGTGGCCCGCTGTTGCTTAAGCCAAACGGCACAATCAGCCTCCACGGCTACCGGCTCACGTAATGCACCCAGCACCCGAAGAGCTTGCACGGCTCCTAGAAACTCCCCACCTCCCTCACAGTCTACTGGCCGGTCCAACTCGCGTATGCGAGCCAACCAGCAGCTCCTGGTGGCCCACACCACACCTGCTTCGTATGCTAGGACAGAATATACCGGAACGTGCCATCAGTCAAATGCAACTCATGCCTTGGCTGGTGTTACTTCCGCCTATGCTCTGGCCTATGCACTACACGCGAGTGGACTACCAACTACAGTGCCTCATTGCAGCCACCCACCAACATGCAGCAACAGCAACCGCGTCAGATGCAACAGGCCCAGGGTAGACCCCACACCTCCCTCACCCCCCATATCGCGGTATCTGTTGCAAGTGTAATGAATCATTTGGCAGGGGAAGACTTAAGTTTTTTGGTGAAGTTCAGTTACAAGCCTGCGACATATCTAGGTCCAAAAATTCTACTGCAGTTTTCCAAAAAGGCGTATAAGTTTCTCAACCTGGCCTTTGATTTATGAACTGTATTTGAGGCATTAGCCAGCAAACGGAATTTAACCAGCATATTTTGTCTAGATATATATATATAAGTTACAGCTTTAGAGACCAGAAGTCAGGAGGATTTTTGCAACGGTGACCTCTATTGAAGTTTGGTTATTATAATTTTTGTGGAGCATTCTTTAAAACAGGGTAAAAAGGGATCCGTTTTGTTTAATGAGTTCAAATGTTATATTCGAAAATATGTTTCTAATTTGCATAGAATTACCAAGATAAGAATTATGTTTAGGGTCGTTCTATGCATTTATTAAAATTGTATTTTGGGCCAAAAAGTGGAAAACTCTGCCCACTGTAAAAAAATAATTTTAATTAATTTGACTACATAACATAATTAATTTGACAGTAACTTAAACAAATCTTCACATGCTGATTTTTTTAAATATTCACAATATTTTCCAAGTTAAAATTCTTTGATTCTTTTTCTCTAAAAATTAACCAAAAATATGTATGTAAATAAAAGATTCAAATTTGAGGAAAAAAAAAATTGTGTAAAATTTCATAAAAATTTCGTACATTGCAATGCAATTTACTTGAAACTTTCATTTTTGTTACTTTATATGGGCTTTAAAACTGCAATACCCAAAAATTTTCTAAAGGTTAACTTATATAGAATTTTTAAAATTTTTCGTTTTTTTTATTTATTAATTTTGCAAAATTTTGGCATAAAATTTGAAAGCTTTGTTTAATGCATTACTTTTATAAAAAAAATTAACTTAAAAAAACTATGAATATTAAAAAATTAAAATACGTACGTACATTTGTTTCAGTCACTGCATAATTTAGAAAAAAAATATCCAATTCAAAAATAAAAGATAAAAGTAAAATTTTACTCACCTTTCCAAAGCTGTGAAAGAAAAAGAAAAAAAAAATTACTATAATCTCAAATATAAAGTAACAAAGTAATAATATATGAATAGAATTTGTAGAATATACATATACATATTTTAAGAATCATTATTTAGTTAGTTTAACAATATTTTCTCACATTTGTTTATAAAAACTACTATAGTCCTAAAAAATCCTTTAGGAAATTAATAATACGATCAGTCCTTAGAGAGGGAGTCTTACAAAAGGTAGTCATAAGTACTTAAATAGTAAGAAGTCTTATTCGAAACAATTATTTTGGAAAAAAATCTCCTTTACTTTATTTTATAATATTTTGTATTTCAAAAGATACATAAATACATATATCCGAAAACTTAATAGAATTATTCTATTTCAGAAAATGCATTGAAAGACTACTTTGTATTTGCATCTTATAGGTACCTGGCTAGAAAGACTGTTTCCTCCTGTTGTATGATGGTGTTTCAATCTACCTAAATAATAAATGAGTGTTAAATGGATTTAAAGTTAAAAGAAAAAAAAAACAATATATAAAAAAATTTAAGACAAATTATATTGTGGCATTCACACTTGCCTGAGTATCAGCTTATCTGGTTATGCGTTTATATTTTTTATTCAGTTTACAACAATAAACTAAACAACAGAATAATAATTTTGTACCACATAAGCTGATAACCAGGCAAGTGTGAACACTCACAATGCTTCAGAAAGTATTTTTGAGAAAGAAAATATACATATAAATTTTAATGCAAAAAACTAAAAAATACATACAAACATACACACTAAACATATTTATGTATACACCAAGTAATATGTATACTAAAAACATAAAAACACACGCATACCTTCTTGTACTATACATACATACATACATATAGAACATACAAACATACATTTGAAACATATGACAAAGAACAAAGTTCAAATTGTATTTAATAGAGAAAAAAGGAGTTACTCAAATTATCTAAATTCAAGCATACATATGATATAATTGGTACATTGAATAAAGT